CCACTGGAAAAAAAACAGAAAGAGTTGTACTTCAGCCATTCTTTTTGTGCTTGGATGTAAAGCTAATTTATTTGAAAATTGTCAATATTTGTATAGTGTTGGTAAATGTATAGTGCATGCACAGCAAAGATGTAAATAGAACCAAACTGTGAGAATTCATAGTTTGAATTGTCTTTATTTTTCTATGTTAAGTTTTTGAAATATTTGAAAAAAAACAGAAAGAGTTGTACTTCAGCCATTCTTTTTGTGCTTGGATGTAAAGCTAATTTATTTGAAAATTGTCAATATTTGTATAGTGTTGGTAAATGTATAGTGCATGCACAGCAAAGATGTAAATAGAACCAAACTGTGAGAATTCATAGTTTGAATTGTCTTTATTTTTCTATGTTAAGTTTTTGAAATATTTCTTTACATGCTGCTCTTGATAAAAGCTATTTTTGAACAGCTATGGACTGCCACATTCCTTTTGTCTGTTTCTACAAAGAATTTTCAAAAATAATGTCAATTATTCACTACTTGTTCATTCATAAACAAAAATAATTATCCCAAGAAATCAAACAATGTAAACAATTTCACTACTTGGTTTTCAAGCACTAGTATACTGTTGCGGCCTTGAAGGTTGATGGGGGTTTTACAAAGTGTGGAATGTTTAAATTAAAAAAAAGTTACAATTTTAAACATTTATAAAAAACATAGGACCTGCTTGTGGTCTCATTTACTGATTTAAATCTGTGTTACTTCACTAACAGAAAGCATTGGGCCCCAATCTAGAGCTTAAAAATGACAATATCCTCAGTTGCATTTTAACTGCAGCCTGTACAAATTCAGAAACTCAAAGTTAACTGATTTTTTTTGTTAATTTGTTTTTATAACCATAACCATCTGCTTTGCTTTACTAGCCACTGGGAGCAGCTAATATTAAACTCTGTCCTCCTTATACGTAGCACTAACAGCGTCAACAGTTAAGGAGCTTTCAAAACCGAAATGTGCTGAAACCTAGACACATTTTGGTTTTGCTTGACTGCTCATTTGCTTCATATTACTGATTATATTTATGGCAAACACAGTAGCTACAGAGCTACCTATGCCACAGTTATTTGCAAAAATATCCATTTATATTGTAGGCCAAAGCAGGAGAAGGTGGTACAAAAGTACATATGGCAGCCAAGTGTGACAAGACTGATTCTTCTTTTTAAACATCAAACTTTATATCTTTGAGTCTGCAGAACCTTTGACCATCCAGCTTTGAAAAATGGTTAAACAAACACTTTGGTTCAAATTCACAGTCATATTTGGTCCTATTAACAGCAATGACAACTGGCTGAGAATTCAGATGTGTCTCTTCTATTGGCCAGCACATTCCAAGATGATGTCGATGAAGCTAAGAAAAGAGAAATGAGATCAGAATATATATAATCATACATTTGAGCACTTATTACAAATACCCATTACTGATATCTCAACAGCTAGTTGCTTTGGCCGCTGATGGTTTAATTTTGGCATAGCACTTACAAAGCTCATAGCACTGGTATCCAGCGTGTGAAACTCATACCTTAAACTGGTGCTGGAAGTTTGCTGTACACCACTTTTCCAGTTGCTGGTAAGTTAGAAGCTTAACTATAAGAACTTGTTTTAGATAGCAGCAAGAATTTGTGATCTCAAAAAAATATATAGCAGGAGTTGCAACCACACTTAATTTTTAGCTGATGAACATGAAAAGAGCAGAGTTCATGACTAAGTAGTCTTCAATAAATTAGTCTGAAGACTATTCTTGCAGAAACATTGTCAGCTCACTTTGATTATAAAATAAGGGATCACTTCATAATAAGTAACAGTTCTGTGAAGGCTTGCACATGTCAAATCCAATGCAGGCATGCATGCATGTCCCAAGCACAGTTGCCAGAATGTTTTCCCCTAGGGATATCTGTCAAGTTAGCTTCAGAATGCTCATAGTGCCAATATAAAGGGCCCTTCCCTTCAGTTCCTTCTTACCACCTATTACAGTTGCTGGAACTGCTTGTTTGCTTTGGCAAATTCCCCAGTGATTTTTTTCAGTCTCTATTTTTCTAGTGTATATAAATGTTTGAAGTTGTGATCGTTTTTAGTTATATTGTATTTGGATTCCTCAATTACTTAGAAAAGTTTATTTGCTTCCTGAGTCAGGCCTTGGTCACTGAACTTAAATCCCTGTGCTTTCTGCAGCAAGTTAATGCCATTAAGTGAACAACGTGAGTTCTCACTGTTAGATCTTCTGAAACCTGTTCAGAGCAATGTGTCTTGGACTTAGCACCAAGCACTCCAGCTTCAGTGTGGACTACTCCCCCTGCTTAAGAATCTCAGCATTCCTATCCCCAGTGCCTAAGAAACAACTCTGGAGGTGTGATCCAAGGCCAGAAAGGGTTAAACATCCTCCAGGATAAATGATCCAAATTCAACATTTCAGGACACTGGTAAATAATGTTTTTATATTTGTGTGTTTTCATATATATTGCAGAGGTTAATGTAACCAAACAATCCCTGTCTAAGCTGTATCATCTCTCTTTGAAATGTATAAATTACCTTATGTAAATCTGCATAACTAATTACCAGTGATGCTCTGGTCTATTTAGAAGTCACCACAATTGCCTATTGTTCATTCAGGAATGAATGGTCAAGAGGCTGCTTGAAAACTGTGGAAAACTCCTTTAGATCCCGATCCTTTCCATCTCCGATCTGCTTAAGCTTTATCAGGAGAAGTTTTGAGTCGCAAGATTTGAGATTTCCAAGCCTGCTTCGATCCACCCTGAAATATGAACACTGAACTAATTCCGTAAGAGTTCTTTACAAATGCAAAGCTCACCTCTCTACTATGAATCTGATCTCAGAACTATACTCAAGTCCCTATGTATACACATTGGTCTTTTAACCAGTGTTCTCTTTTTAAAAATATGTTTTAGTTTAGTTGATAAGAACCGGCTCTTAGGGATGTCACTGTATAGTCCACTACATGGTTAACTGATAAGCCTTGGCTTATCAATTAAGTGTGTTGACAACATGTGCTCCCCTCCCCCTGCAGCTTCTGTATCAGAGGCAACAGCACAGGAGGGGAGAGAGGGAGCTGATGGCTGTGAGGAGCTGGCTTTAAGCAGACTTCCCGGGATCGCTGGATCTGCCTCCCTCTTCCCCCGTGATGTTGCCTCTGATAGAGGTAGCAGCGCGGAGGGTGAGCAGGGGCAGGCTCAAGCCAATATGCCCGGGGAGCCAGCTTTTGGCTTTCTGTGCATACCAGGTCTGCAGACCCACCTACAGAGGAAGTGAGGACCTGGTACTGGGAGAAAGCTAGCTTAAAAGCTAGTTCCCCACAGCTCTGCGGTGCCGTTTGCCCTCCTCTCCCCACATGCTGCTGCCTCTTAGCCTCCCCTGCCCCACTCCCCCCATCAGCAGCCTCTCTGCAGGGAGCTCAGACCCCCATGGACAGGGGGTTGATATCACAGACCAGTCTCTGTTTGTGGTGAACCCAGTCCGATATAGGTAGCAGCGCGGGGGGAAAGGAGGTGGCTCCCTAGAGCTGGTGCTGGGGAAGAACTGGCTTTTAAGCCAATTCCCCCCACAGCACCCTCGAGAGTGGGGCTGGCAGCGCACTGGCTGCCAGCTCCATCACCAGGCACTATCTAATAGTTGTGTAATTGATAAGATTTCATGTGGTTACATGACTATTCAATTACACTATATGTAACATCTTTACTAGCTATAATCACGTATGTGGGGGCAGATGTCAAATATTCATTAACCTGGGAGATAATTCGACCAATTCTTTGCGATTGTTAGAACTTTGACTTGGGTGTCTGGGGGGAGGTCTAATGCTGAGTTGTTGTAAGGGAGCTATGTTGACTTCTGGTTAACTATTAAGGTATTATAGAAGCTGTTTTGTGCTTGCTAGGTAAATCTATATATTGGAAAAGACACTAGCTTTGGGGAATGGCTCCCCCATACTTTGTAGTTTGGCCTTCATTAAGTAACCGCAGTTGGCTCCCCTGGCACCTGGATCACAGGAGATATTTGCAGCAGCCAGGGACCTATTCTTGTTGCTGGTACCTGTGTGTCTCGTAGTACAGGATTCAACAGTGCCAGTACGGTTGTGAAGCAAAGAACCATCCCCTACCTATAGCCCAGTATCACTATTGCCATCCAGGGGAAACCCATCCATGATCACCTCATTGAAGGCTTCATTGCAGTACTGTTCATGATCACCCCCCCTCATTGTCCTGCAAGGACACACTGTTATTTTTGGAAGTGGGGTTGTATTGTTCTTGCCATCACCACCCAACCTCTGATATCCCTAGTCTCAAATGGGTCAGCACTGAGCGATAGAATTGACCTAAGTCCTCTCAAGACTCAAGTCTCAAAAAGATGACCATATTTTACACCAAGAGGCAGAGTGGAGCTTGCTCTTCCCCTTTATGTCAATTCAGCTGTGGAATTCTGCATTCAGTCATATCTTCTGGGAGTGCAGAATCAGCTGGCAGCTCGCCTCAATAAGTCTGTCTTCTCACCACAGTCTCTTCAATGGACATTTCAAGGGACATTTTCCTATGTGGGGAACTCCCCAGATAGACCTGTCTGTTACCTGCTGTGATAGGAAATGCCACCAAAAGGGAAAAAATGCCAGCAACTCTGCTCAGGGTGTGCACACACCCACACTAAACAACACCTCTCAAACAACAACAGTTACAGAAAGATTAGTAATCAATTTTTAGCACAAACAAGCAACTGAATTTTTTTTTAAAAAAGTGCCTTAGTTATTAGGTGCTACCACCACAGAACAGGAAGATACAATGGTCAGCCATTATTTTATCTGTTTTCAAATAATTGTTCAAACTACTGGCATAATTTATTTAGGGTGGAAGCAGGAGTTTTATACATTGTCTTCATTTGTGTGCTTTTATTGGCATATGTCTTAGAGACTTTGGGTGCAGAATGTTATTGAAAGCACCATGCAAAGCAATCTATAGGAAAATGGCAGGTGGATTTATCACCATCAGTCTTAATGATTATAGCAGTTTTTTAAGTCAATTTGGTTTTAAAGCAGTTACTGAATATTGTGAATATTGCTAGGAGTCCATTATAGTTAAAAAGCTACATCATACTACAGCTGTAAATAAGTATAGTTGTTGGTCAAGAGAGCCCTGTGTTCTGGCTACGAGTGAGAATGATGGAGCCCTCTTCCCTGAGAAAGACACTGGGTAAGATATTCAACTTGGCTTCCCACTAAAGCTTGTATGGGGAAAAAAAGAACACTCCACAGTTATGTAGGAAATTATCACACTGAGCTTGTGAGGAAATGGTCGAAGTTGTCAAGTGATAATTTGAAACATGATCTCAAAGTAGCTAAACTTATTCTGACCAGTAAGAATAAGCAGTGTGTATGGTGTTTCAATCCACCATGTTTTTTACACTAGTAATAGGGTCTTTGAAGTTCCTTTGATATAAAACAACAAATATTTGTTTTTCTTTAAATATGAGTTTTGGAGAGTACAGATTCATTAATGATATTCTAAATAATTACCTTGATTAAATGTCCATCGTTACAATGCCATACAATTCCTTCAATTTTGCCCTCTCTGCAGCCTTCAAACCAAGATAATATATCACTGTGCTTCAGTATAGGCGGATTCTTTATTTCAAATGCTCCATGTGGTACAAGAAGATGGATAGGGTGCTTCTTACTTCCTAAGCCTATATATATTAAAAACTTAATCTGTTAGTCATGTAGTCACTCAAGTCAAAATTTTTATTATAGCAACATTAAAAATGCTGTCTCACAAGATTACTGCCAGTTACATGGGACTGGTATATAAAACACCTTGGATAAAATCCAAGTTCTGCTGAAATAAATGGAAAGTTTTCCACTGACTTCTAAAGTAGGGATGTAAGCAAGTAGTCGACTAGTCAACTAATAGATAAGCCTAGGCTTATCGGATAGTCGAGTCAACTGCTCGCATTCCCGCCCCCCTTCCCGCTGCCTCTGTATCAGAGGTAGCAAGAAGGGGGGAGAGGGAGCTGGCTTAAAAGCCGGTTGGTTCCCCAGCACCATCTCCATTGTGCTGCCTCTCCCGCACCATCACTACCCCTGACTGCTGACACTTATCAGAGGCAGCAGCACAGGGGTAGAGGGAGCAAGGGAGGCTGCCATGACGCAGCCCCTATCCATGGTGCCCTAGGCCGGCTGCAGGCAGCCCAGCTCAGTCCTGGTTTGTGATAGGTCCAGCCCCTACCCCAGGCTGCAGACAGCATGGCTCTTACTACATTTCAACTACAGAGCTGCAATGGGTGTAGGTCCCAGACTCAGCTCGTGCTGGGACTGAGCTGGGCAGCTTACCTGCCCAGCTCCTACTACATTTGAAATGCACAGCCACAGCAGGCTCTGCATTTAAAATGTAGTAGGAGCCGGGGGAGTAGGCAGCTCGGCTCAGTCCCGGCTTGCGCTGGGTCCAGGACCAAGCCCCACTGAGGCTCTGCAATTTACAATGCAGTAGGAGCTCGGGGGGCAGACTGCCAGGTTCCTATTGCCTTTTAAATTGTAGAGCTGCAGATGGGTTTCATCCCAGAGCAAGCGCAGAACCACACTGCCTTTCCCATTGACTAATTGAGTAGGCAATAAAAATTTATCGACTACTCGATTAGTAAATTAACCACATTTTAACATCCCTACTACAGAGACAGGATTTCACCCCTTCTTTTCAGAAACAGAGCTAGAATTCCTATCTCTGGGTGTGTCTAAACTACATCCTTCCGTCTGCAGAGGGATGTAAATTAGACACATCAAAAGTGCAAACCGCGGTTTAGACGTGGTTTTTCCGACAATGGGGCGATTTTTTGAAAGATTCTGTACTCCTAATTTTTTCAGTTTCAGCAGTTTCAATTTCGAAATGACGCTTGTTTGAAACAGCGCCAGGACACAATTATGCAAATGAAGCATGGGATATTTAAATCTCTGCTTTATTTGCACTTTTGATGTGTCTAATTTACATCCCTCTGCCAACAGCAGGGTGAAGTTTATATGTAACCTCCAGTAAAGTGAGACATTAATGTTATATTAGAGAGACATAAGTCTTCATAATTTTCTGATTTACTAACTTCTTACTGTACACAGTATTATGACATGATAAATGTAAGCCAGACGTACAGTAGTAGGCTGTCTTTCAGTTGAAGGTACAACTTCTGGGAAATTAAATAACTTTTTTTCTTTAAGAAGATGTGGATGTAGAGAGGTATCTGATTTTTGCAACAGGTACCATGACAGCACACCTACAATCACCACATAATCTAAAGGAACTATAACACTTTGATATGCTTACCATTGTGAGTTTTGTCTCACATGTAATTCTCAAATTCTGACTTTCCCTTTGCATATCTCACAAAATAGTATGTTAACAAGCTTTATATGTTTAAATCTACAGTTACCAAATAAAAATGGTCTTAATTTGATTAGAAAATACTACCTCTCTCTTACAAGCTAAGAGATTTCTTCTTTCACGTGCTCCAAGAACCACACGTTAACACTGCTTGATGCAATACTCCTGGGAAAATTCAGCACCACTGTGCACATGCAAGAATACATGTCACCTGCAGATTTGCACCCCTCTCCCCCATTCATTCTGCAGGAAATGTGCTGCAATTATACATTATACCTTTTGTCCACCAGGAGCTGCATCAGTAGCAAAAGAGCAGGCAGCCTAGCTCACAAGCTTCCTTCCTCACAGCATCCTCCCTGTGGAGCAGATGAGGAGGCACAGAATATTAGGGGGGTGGGGGAGGAAGAGGGCAGAGGAATGATCAGAGTGGGTCACACAGGGCAGTCACAAGAATTAGAAGAGTAACAGCATTAAGTTAGGGCAGGAGCAGGCAATTTTTGAAGGGGGTCCACTTCATTAATTTCAGAAGTGGCCGTGGGCAGGGCAACAAAACTTTGCATGCTGCCCCACTCACAGACCCCAATAGGCCTGGGGGCTGGGAAGCACTTGAAGTCTTTACCGCCCTCCCCCGCTCCTGCTCTGCCAAGGGCACATGGCACCTAGAAAGAACTGCCAGCTGTTTTGAAATGCATGCCCCTGGTGGGGGGGAGGGGGTTGTAACCCGGGGCAGGAAAGGGGGTGCAGGGATTTGGGCTGTGATGAGGGATAGTGGATTGGGGTGCAGGGTCTGGGAGGGGGTTGTAATTTGGGGCAGGAGTATGGGGGTATGGGCTATAACCAGGGTTAGTTAATTGGGGTGCAAAGTCTGGAAGGGGATTGTGACCTGAGGAGGAGTGGAGGAAGGAATGAAGTGTCTGAGAAGATGTATGGGGGCTGGAGCAGTGGTGCAGAAAGTCTGGGTTACATAGGGTAGGAGTGCAGGGGGGCGGGACAGAGGGGGGGGGCTGAGGGGAGGAGAGGCAGGCTCGGGTTGGGAGACCTCACCTGGATGGCTCGTAGCCAGCAGCCCAGCAGATTGTTTAACCAGGGTCCCTGCCTTCCCACACCCCTGTACTGCTCAGAGCAGCTACAGGGGCCATGTGAAACTGGGGTATGAGGAGGGAGGGGCACTTCACATGCATCCTGTCCTGCAAACAGGATACTGCTGTTGGCCAGAAACTTGCCAATGGGAGTGACTGAGGGGCGGGAGCAGTGTGAGAATCCTCTGCCACCTCCCTCCAGGTTCTCAGCATTCAGAGATGCACATGACCCTGCAGCAGCTAGCTTCACTGAGTGCTGAGCAGGGATGGGGTAGGCAGGGAGCCAACTGAGGCTCTCATAGGCCAGACATGGCAGCTTGGCAGGCTGAATCCAGCCTGCAGATGATATTCTGCCAGCCCTGAGTTAGAGGCTCACCATCAGGTGCAGCTGTAGGACCACATGGGGACATGTACAGCTACATCTGAACGAGGAACCAGGGTACGAAGAAATACTGGGACAGAGGCAAATGTGCCTTATTGAATGGAAGGTGTCAACTAGTGTCTTTGTAAAGGTACGGCTAGACTACATGCCTCTGGCAACAGAGGCACGTAGTCTAGACGTACCCAAAGGGAGGCTCCTAACATTCTCCTGACCTCCTGTCCCCCCAGAAACCTTGTTCCATACTTCTCCCACCCCACATACTCCCATACTTCTCCCACAATAACCCTGCAGGTTCACTTTCAGACTCTTCCTCAATCTCTCAGCTCCTCTGTTACCACTGACTCCCACCAAGCATTTCCACTGCTTCTGGGGATATGGGAAATTCATTTGATGGAAAATTCATTTAAACTTCATTATATAAATTCATTATTATTCCAAGTTCTATATTAATATGCTTAGCAAGGAATGTACAGTGAAAACTTTGTTATCCAGCACTTGGTTAACCAGCATTGTGGCAGCGCCAGCTCGTGCTCAGCATGCCTCTGGCATAGCCTGCCTCTGGCACTGTGAGTATCCCGCACACTCAATTAACTGGCAACTGACATTCCCCATGAATACCGGATAACAAAGCTTTTGCTGTTATTTTGACAAAAACATTTCCTGAATCCTTTTTGCTGTCCATACTGTTACAAACATAGTTTCTAGCAGGTATTTTGAAATAAATTACAAAAATAATTGAAATTAGCAGGATTATATTGATGTTTTGACAAAATATGCAGAATTTTGCAGAACTTTAAAATACTGTGCACAGAATTGTTAAATTCTTGGTGCTGAATTTCCCCAGGAATAGCACAAACTTCATGTGTTGTTATTGAAGTGGCAATAGGGACTGTGTAGTAGAACTATTCCATACTCCTCCTGCCATACTAAGACAAAAGCTGTTATGTTGGGAAATTCTTATAATTAAGCACATGTAATATATTTAGTGTACAGGCAGTCCCCGACTTACGCAGATCTGACTTATGTCGGATCCGTAGTTACGAACGGGGCTTTTCTCGCCCTGGAGGACGCGGGCGGCGGGACCGCCCAGACGCGCCACAGTCCCGCAGCCCGTGTTCTCCGCAGCTTTGCTCCGCATCTCTCTGGTCTGCCACGGAGTCAAAGCCGCGGAGGATGAGGGCAGGAATGTGGCGTGTCTCGGCGGTACTGCCGCCCGCGTCTCCCCGGCCCGCCGGGGGGGGG